GTCTTTCACATTAAATTCCAGTGAAATATATTTATGTTTGTGGTTGTAATGTGACAAAATATGGAAAAGTTCAAGGGGTATGAATACTGTTGCAAACCACTGTATGTGTTGAGGACGACACTCAGCTACGACTGCACCAAATTTTAACTTAATACCTTTAGAACCGACAGAGTTAAAGCATTCTTGTTGTAGCTAATGTTGTTCAGCTGTGGCGGCCATCTTGAACTGAGATGACTGCATGTGTTGAGTTGTAAATGTTTATCTGATGGTTACTTTCTGCAAGTTGTAGTAAAACCTGCACGTCTTTTCATCAGGGGTCAACAGTTTGCTCAACAAATCCAGCAGCAGAACCCAGAGCTGATCGAGCAGCTCAGGAACCACATCCGGAGCCGTTCTTTCAGTGGCAGTGCCGAGGAGCACTCATGATCTGTTTGGGTAATTAAAAAAGTAATCATCTAAAACCAATCTGAGATACATTTATAGGAATAATTTGATCTCACTTTTTTTTTCTGAAGGATGAGCAACCATGTTGTGCGATTACAATCTGTACACCCATTTCTTCAAGTCAAATCCCCGGCAGAGCTGGAATGCAGAGACAAGGAAGGGGTTGAAGGCACTTTATTAAGACTGAAGGATCTGAAGGACAAGGACACTGGACTATGAAATGTAACAAAACATAAACACCTGGCCATAAAAATAAACACCAACCAACAAGACATCGTTCAGCCCGCCGACGGACCATGAGTGAACTTTTTCTTGTGTTTTCGATGTGTTCAGACTTTCTGCTCTCTTCTCGTTTGGAGCTGAAAATCCACCGGTTTATTCACGACACACAAGCAGTGAGAGAGGAATGTACTTTAGCTGCAGTGCAGGAAACATTTCAGCTTTTCACAGAACATCGGACACGCTTTGTTTATAATGTTGAATATTATTTTTGTAGTCAGGATTTACTGTACTTTTATTTGTTTGTTTGGGTGGTGGGGGATCAAACCTGGACGAGGCTCACATTGTTGTTCTTCAATGTAACGAGTTCAACTTTTAATAAAGACAATAATGTAATTGTAGAGCAAGTGTTTGCAGCCTGCATTATGTTGACCCTCTTTAAATGAGTCTAACTGGTGATTAACAACATATTCATATTGATCGTTTGCATGCTCTTAAATCAGGTATTTGAAATCAGATGCTTTATGGAAACAAATATGTATACTAAGGCAGCACATTGTCTAAAATAATAAAATGTCTAAAAATTAAAAGCACTGTCTCATGATTTTTTTTTTACTTCATATTATGCTGCCTCTCAGCAAGAAGGTCACCAAATCCCAGCTAGGGACCTTTCTTAGTTTGCATGTTCTCTGACACACACACACACAAACTTGTTTTTATATCCTTGTGGGGCCCATCCATTGACTTCCATTCATTTTTTGGTAATTTTAAATCCTAACCCTAAGGCTAACCTCACAGGTACCTACCTGACCCTAAAACTAACCTAAACTCAATTCACACCTTGGTCCTAAACCCAACCCTCACACCCAAAATCAGCCTCTGAAGTTGTGGGGCCCAGACCCCACAAGGCTGC